TATATATATATATATATATATATATATATATATATAAGATATCAGAGACACTAGGTTATAAACTCAACATTTTATTTTGCACTACAGACTGTTCCATGAGGGCACAGCCTCAATCATGAATGAAGCTTACCCGGAATAATGAAGTACTGTAGATAAAGATGATAAAAACTGTTTATAAAGAATATGCTATGTTAATTAGTACTGGACTCTCTTTTGTTTAATAGATGGATCTGAGATAGGCTATTGTTATTTAAAGTTTGGTATCTTAGCAGGAACTTTCTTCTATGTCTGCATGCACTAACTAATTCGTTTCTTTGGTTAAGTGTACTAGCTTCAGGATTGCATATAATGTGATATTTCTCCTGCAGGCATAGGTTGCATCGTTTATTAACATTATAGTATGGCTTGCATTTAGATAGTATTCGCCAGTGTATTTTATGCTTTACATTGCTGTCTTTAAGTTTCCAAACATATTGGCTAAGCGTAGTACTATTTCTATATTTAACATTCCGGAATGAACAAGTATGCGCGTTATACCTACTTTTAAAAGTATTTTCGGTGAGACCGACATACGTCTCAACCTTTTGTTGTCATCCCTTGTGATAGTAGCCTGATAAACTACACCACTGGTTAGACATTTACCAGACAAGGGACATTCATTACGGCAATTACATTGCTCGATGTTATCTAAGTGCGTATTCTTATTGTTCTTATTTAGCACCTTTTTGTTGTGAGAGGATAGTATCGAGCCAATATTGGGCATACAGCTATAACTGATCTTGATAGTGTTCCTATTAAACACTTTTCTAAGAGCATGATCATGTGGGAACATTCATCTACGAATTTAAGAAATTCATGTCCGATTTTTGTTTTAACATTGGCGCTGTAAGGTGGGTTGAACCATATGTTTCTTTTTCTTTTCTTTCTAACGTTGGATTGCACGTTGTGAGTAGCCGGATTATATTTCAGCTCATAGTTGAACCCGCTTTCATTGAGGGCTTCCTGATACGGTTTCTTAGTTTCGTCGAAAGCTGCTTTGTTAGAGCATAGAGAAAGAGGATATATGGGACAGTCTCTTGTTTATGCCTTCTGGGATGTTCTTTATTATAGATGGCGGATGGTTGCTCTTGCAATTGACATAGCGCGGCTTGTTCTCCTTTAAGTAGGGTTTATAGCTTCCATCAGTGAGGTTAAGTGTTATATCCAGGTAGTTGATCACTTTCCTGTTTGCCTCGATAGTAATTTTTAAGCTGTGATCTTTGAATGTATTGCATAGGTCCTTTTTAATTTGTTCGATTTCACGAGGGGTTGCGTTGAATGCAGCAAGTCCGTCATCCCTGTATAGCCCTATATTATTACCATATTTGGGTTCTAATTTGGCTAATAGGAATAGCGCGATAAGCTCACAGGTCTCCGCGCCATCGTAGCCTACCCATGGTGACGTCAAAAGTTGTATCATGGACCTATTAATAATATTATTATTATTAGGTCCATGGTTGTATCTTTCTTGCGCCAAACCGAATCGTCCTTGAATAACAGAGTGTTCGTGGCCTTAATTATTATCTCTCTTTCATCTTGCGTGATTTCATCAAATTGCATGGCGAAGTCGCGGGCTTTGGTCAGTAGGTCTTGGGATATTGATGGTAAAACTCTGTAACGTCGAAACATATGAATGAGTGATCAATCTTGTCTCTAATGCCTTTGAATTCCATACTATCACATCGCTTGTGTTCTCCACTGATTTAACTTAGTTGCTATTGTACAATTTTTCTCTTTACTCTTTCCAGAATTCGTTTGCTTATTTTACCTATTTCAGATTTGGATGGGTTTATTAGTCTGCAACTCAGGTTATTTTCAAAATTGTCTTTATGGTCTTTCATAGTTATGAATGCATCTCGTCTAGCGGTAATTTCTATCCTATCGTCTAGCTGAAGCTTTTTCGCTATTTCAATTTCGTCCCTTGTTATTGTACTTACAGTGTGTGGCTGTGCCTTCTTGTATGCTTTCGTTAGGGGTCATCTATTATTTTCATCATGTTCACGAGCGTACAAAACGTACGCTGGGGGAAGGGGGTTGAAGGTGTGTGTATACGCTTTTCAAAAAGTACAAATATAACGATTTGAAAATGTTAGCCTACGTTTTTGTACCTAGCAATTCACGAGTAAATGTTAAGTTTATCAATTGTTTATACACAGCGTCATCTTGCATCCCTGATTAACGATGTGTTGGTTAAAGCATTGTGTACTTATAACCAATTTCGAAATACAAGGGAAATGCACTCTAGCCAGGGGCGGATCCAGGATATGAAAGAGGGTGGTTCAAAATGTCTCAAAAAACCCCCAACATTAAAAAAGGGGTCCTGTAAACTTCGCCCGGGAAAATTTGGATTCCTAAATTCAAATTAAATTCTAGGTTTTCTCCTCTTGAAAAAGATCAGGTAATTTTATCTCATTCTTTAAGCCATTATAGTGAAAAAAAATCAAAGACATAAGCAATATGTTATTATATTCCAACAATATTGCGTAGAACGCACTTTCGTACATACATTATTACGACATTGAACCAAAAACAGTTTGTATAAATAATTTTATTTAATTGAAGGCTAGTTGGGCTAAGCATAGTTTGTCTGATTTGCCAACCTATATGCCTAGGTAGGTTCAGGCGCGGATCCAGCGGGGGGCCACGGGGGCCCGTTTCCCCCACCACCGTCAGTCACGCCGAAAAATAAGAAAAATTGAGAAGAGTTAAAGGGAAGAAAGAAAGAATGAAAACAGGAAGTGTACCCATGAGTTCAGTGACGGATCCAGCAGAGGGCGAAAGGAGAGCTCGATTATTTTACCACTAACTAATTTTGAATTTTCTAGATTGTCAACGAACACAACGCTATTATCCCCGACGCATCAATCAAGATGTAAAAAGGCCAAAAGGCGGAGACCTAAAGACAGAGTTTTTTTTAAGCCGGAACGTAGTACCCAGCTATAGAACAGCTACATCCATGCTCAGCATGGAGTAACGCCTACGCGTTCTCGTGCGAAAATCCGCAGGCCAACGAACCTTATGTGTATAATGATTTTGATAAACAATCATAATTCTCTGTACTATCTACTAAGCATTTAACGAATGAACTTCCTTTTGTTGTGGTCATATTAGACTGTTATATTTTTAAAGAAGACCATTCAGCAAACAACATAAAACAAAATCCCCACGTCTGTGCATGCATAGAACGTATAATTTCCTGAAATTTGGATATAGAGTGGACTTCCTTATGATTTAGGTCTAAGGAAATATAAATGTATATTGTTCTGAATTTGTAGGTGACAAAGTGTTCTTTCTTATGTTGTGGTCATATTAGAACATAATATCATTAAAGACCATTCATTTGTCTGCCGATATCAGTAGGTTCTTATCTTGCTTTATTTTTATCGCGTCGTTGTTGAGGTTTTTCTGGAACTGGCATCTATTATTATTATTCTCAAACTTGATACGGTACTCCGTA